TCATAATGGACGTCCTGAAAAAATATACACTACTTGTGTGTATAATGTGTCTTTGCTTTGATGTCAACCTATAGAAAACTCAATACTTATATTACCCTTATTCCTTACCTACTTTATTGAATAGCTTTTTATTCAATAAAATAGAAAAATAACTATTTTAGCCTTGTGAAAATGGTTTGTGTTTAAATAGGTTTTCTAGCCCAGTTCAATGGCTCATACCAGTAATCCCAGCACTTTGGGAGGCTGAAGCAGGAGGATTGCTTGAAGCCAGGAGTTCAAGACCAGCCTGGGCAAAATAGTGAGACCTGGTCTCTAAATACAAAACTAAAAAATTGCCAAGTGCAGTGGCTCACGCCTGTAATTCCAGCAGTTTGTGAGACCGAGGTGGGCGGATCACGAGGTCAAGAGATCAAGACCATCCTAGCCAACATGGTAAAACCCCATCTCTACTAAAAATACAAAAATTATCTGGGCATGGTGGCATGCACCTGTGATCCCAGCTACTTGGGAGGCTAAGACAGGAAAATTGCTTGAACCCAGGAGGCGGAGGTTGTAGTGAGCTGAGATCACGCCACTGCACTCCAGCCTGGGTGACTGAGTGAGACTCCATCTCAAAAATAATAATAATAATAATAATAATAATAATTAATTAACCAGGCATGGTCACAAACACCTGTGGTCCCAGCTAGTCAGGAGGCTGAGGCAGGAGGATTGAAGTTGAAGGCGTTCAACTCCCAGGAGTTGAAGGCTGCAGTGAGCTATGATTGCACCACTGCACTCCAGCCTGGGCAACAGAGTGAGACACTATCTCATAAAAGTAAATAAATAATAAATAAATAAATGGGATTTATATTTATAAACCAAAACAACATTTTTTATTCAATTGGATTTAGTACACCCTGATGTTTTTGCAACTTTTTGCTGATTATGCTTTTTTTAGAGAATATAACTTATGAGTGAATATAACTTATTAGGAGGCCTCAAGATATATATTAAATTAGATAGTAATCAGAGCATAAATGTAACAGACAGTTAGCCATTTGCTATTACAAGATTCTGCAGAGACCTTTTCATGTTTGACCTGAGATGTTTAAAGTGTGTTTTTAATTCTCTGTGCTCCTAAAAAGCATACATATCAATACGTCTGTGGGTTAATGAATTAGAGTACTAAGAGATAGGCATGCTTGGTTTATTGTTCCACCGAACAATATTATGATCTTTTGTGCTATATTATGATCCTCTTCCTTCCTGCAATAAATTTCAGAAATAAGAGATGAGCAAATCTTCTTTTTGAGATTAACATGAAACATAACAAAGTTAGAATAATAGGGACTGGTTGGAGGCCGGGTGCGGTGGCTCACACCTGTAATCCTAACACTTTGGTAGGCCAAGGTGGGCGGATCACCTGAGGTCAGGAGTTCAAGACCAGCCTGGCCAACAATGTGAAACTCCGTTTCTACTAAAAATACAAAAATTAGTTGGTCCTCGTGGCACGTGCCTGTAATCCCAGCTACTCCGGAGGCTGAAAGGGGAGAATCACTTGAACCTGGGAGGCAGTTAGCTGAGATCAGGCCACTGCACTCCAGGCTGGGCAACAGAGCAAGACTCTGTCTCAAAAAAAAAAAAGAAGAAGAATAGCGACTAGTTGGGAAGTTAGATTGATTGTTTACTGAAAGTGGGAAAAGATAATTTAGTTTTTCACATAACTAAAATCTTACAGAAAACTTGCTAAATTTAACAAATAGGTAAGAATAATTTATATTTAGTATTATCAAAGCACTAACCTAAGCAATTCTTATTTCAAGAGAAATTACAGGTTAATCATAAATAGATATTAAAATGCTTTGGAGACTGGGCACGTTCACTCACGACTGTAATCCCAGCACTTTGGTAGGCCAAGGTGAGCAGATCACCTGAGGTCAGGAGTTCAAGACCAGCCTGGCTAACATGGTGAAACCCCCATCTCTACTAGAAATACAAAAATTAGCTGGGCGTGGTGGTGCACATCTGTAATCCCAGCTACTTGGGAGGCTGAGGCAAGAGAATCATTTGGACCAGCCTGGCTGATATGGTGAAACCCCATCTCTACCAAAAATACAAAAACAGTTAGCCAGATGTGGTAGCACATGCCTGTAATCCCAGCTGCTCGGGAGGCTGAGGCAGGAGAATTGCTTGAACCTAGGAGGTGGAGGTTGCAATGAGCCAAGATCACGCCACTGCACTCCAGCCTGGGCGACAGAGCGAGACTCCTTCTCAAACAGCAACAACAACAACAACAAAATGCTTTGGAAATACGCTTCACATTATTTGGTTCCTTTTAGAGATAGGGTCTCACTGTGTTGCCCAGGCCAGAATCAAAGTTCTGCACTCAAACGATTCTCCTGACTCAGCTTCTTGAGTAGTTGGGACTATAGGTGTACACCACCACCACTATGGCTCAGGAATTTTTTTTTTATAAATAGATAGTGCAGTCTCCTTCTTTGGGCCTCTTACTTGTAAAAGTGGGCCAGATTTTAGCTTTTCAAACTTTAATGTGTGTGAAGATCACATGAGTATCATTAAAATGCAGATTTTTGCTTCGGTGGGAATCTGAATTTCCATCAAGCTTCCTGATAATGCTGATTCTTGTAGTCTACCAATAGCAAGGAGCCAGTTGGTTTCTATTTCTCTATGTGTTCAACATAGAATTTAGTAATACCTAGTCAGGGCTCAGTGGTACATACCTTAGTCCCAGCTACTTGAGGGGCTGAGGTGGGAGGATTGCTGGGGCCCAGGAGTTCAAGTCCAGCCTGGGCAACATAGGGAGACCCTGTCTCTACGGGGGGAAAAAAGTTAGCAAAATCTTACTAATTCCAATTGTGGTAGTGAGACAAGGGATAAAATGAAGCTTATCTTTTATTTAGTCAAGACTTTTTGGTTGAAAGGAATAGACATCAGTTTAAACTAAGAAAAATAAAAAGGAAGATTGTTAAACAAGAGAAAAAGAATATAAGAAATAATCTCACTGAGCCAGAAATAGAGGTAGGCATCAGGGGAAGTGGAACATTAGAAATCAGCAAGTAACTTAGCTATATTTCCCAATTCTGCTTCTCTGGGTTTCTGTTCCAACCTCTCCTATTTTCTGATACATGTCTTTGGCTTACCACTTTGGCTTACTGTGTCCTCCACCATTTAACCTTTTAGCTCCAAGTCCCACTATCCCTTAACAACCAGTATCTCTTTTATTTCAAATTATCAAGAGAAAATCTGGTCAGCCAGTAATGATTTGTTTCTACTTGGGTCAAGTGTCCAACCCTGGGCCAGAGAGCCTTCTGGGTTTGGGAGGGTAGAATGTAAGAATAGGGGCTCCTGAGATTGGCCCCCTTATGGGACAAGGGAAGGGTGTTAATTCAAGGAAAGGGAGACGGGGTAGAGCAGCAATGACAGCTGTCTAATACACATTTATAAACTTTTATGAAGAAGGATTTGCTAAAGTAGTAGAGTATAGGCAGTTCAGTACTTTTAGGATACTTCATAAAAGCATGTTTGAAAGCCACCTGTGCAATAGTTGAATCCATTCTAAGGGAACTAAAAATCATATCTGAATTATAGTATGCATTTTTTTTTTTTTTTTTTTTAAGAAACGGAGTCTCGCTTTGTCACCTAGGCTGGAGTGCAGTGGTGTGATCTCGGCTCACTGCAAGCTCCACCTCCCGGATTCACGCCATTCTCCTGCCTCAGCCTCCCAAGTAGCTGGGACTACAGGCGCCTGCCACCACACCCAGCTAATTTTTTGTATTTTTAGGAGAGACAGGGTTTCACCGTGTTAGCTAGGATGGTCTCGATCTCCTGACCTTGTGATCCGCCCACCTCGGCCTCCCAGAGTGCTGGGATTACAGGCATGGGCCATCGTGCCCGGACATATAGTATACATATTTTTAAATACTTTTGAGTATTATCAGTGTACACAAGGGATAATGGTAAAATAAAAATTGAGTCACCCACTCCTACCTCTTCCCCAGTGAGCACAATGTAAAGTTGTCCTGGCCTCCGCGCTATTGACCAGTTCCTGGCAGAACAGCCCTGTACTTCTTTCCACTTACTGTTTCCTGAATCTCATTCCGTACTTTTATCGTTCATAGAATTTTTTAAGCTAATACTGAGATTACCTTTTGTGGGACTACAAATATTCTCCCATTGTTGGAGTTACAGAGGTACCCAAAACATTTGAGATTCAAGTTTATATTCCGATGCATTTGATATAAAGAGAAAGTGTAACATTTCTCCAGTTGTATTTGTGAATATCTGTGTTCTTAAAACAGCTGAAGTAATTGCCAAATTACCTCATTTTTCCAAAAGGGCCATTTTGTCTATGCTGTTGGCTCCCAGTATAGAAATATGAAATTGACAGTATGTGATAAAATTTAGAACATTTAGAACAATGTTCTTTTTTTCCCCTTTGGCTTATCAGTAAGTCAGTGCTACAGAGTCTGGTGTTCTGCTTTTTCATACTTCTAAGGGGTAGAGCAGCAATGACAGCTGTCTAATACACATTAATAAACTTCAAGTACTGTACAGTGCTTAAATTTAATTAATTTTTTTTTTGAGCTGAAGTTTTGCTCTTGTTGCCCGGTCTGGAGTGCAATGGCTCTTATCTCCACTCACTGCAACCTCCACCTCCCGAATTCAAGCGATTCTCCTTAGCCTCTCAAATAGCTGGGATTATAGGCATGCACCACCATGCCCAGCTAATTTTGTATTTTTAGTAGAGACAGAGTTTTCTCCATGTTGGTCAGGTTGGTCTCGAATTCCCAATCTCAAGTGATTTGCCTGCCTCGGCTTCCCAAAGTGCTGGGATTACAGGCGTAAGCCACCACGCCCAGCCCGGTGCTTAAATTTAATGTCACATCGTTTTAGGCAAAAGTACGCACCATTATCTGGAAGGAAAGCATTTATAGAAATTACTTGCTGGCATGTCTTTCTTTATATTTATCTTAATTATACCTTCTTTTTTCTTTCAGAAAAATCCTGGGCAGAAGCTGGATCAGCAAGAATGTCACTCCTTATATTGGTGTCCATTTTCTTATCTGCAGCTTTTGTTATGTTTTTGGTATATAAAAATTTTCCTCAGCTTAGTGAGTAAGTATGGGAAATAAAGTGAAAATGTATAGATATTTATAAGATGAAAGTGGATTAAGGCCAAGTGCAGTGGCTGACACCTGTAATCTCAACACTTTGGGAGGCCGAAGTGGATGGATTGGTTGAGTCCAGGAGTGTGAGACCAGCCTGGGCAACACGACAAAACCCATGTGAAAATACATACATAAATATGTGTGTGTGTATATTTAATATATATGTTAAAATATATACACACACACACACACATATATATATATTTTTTGAGATAGAGTCTTGCCCTGTCATCCAAGCTAGAGTGCAGTGGCGTGATCTGAGCTCACTGTAAGCTCTGCCTCCCGGATTCAAGCAATTCTGCCTCAGCCCCCCGAGTAGCTGGGATTATAGGGGTGGGCCACCTCATCCAGTTAATTTTTGTATTTTTAGTAGAGACGGGTTTCACCACGTTGGCCAGGCTGGTCTCAAACTCCTGACCTCAGGTGATCCACCTGCTTTGACCTCCCAAAGTGCTGGGATTAGAGGCGTGAGCCACTGTGCCCAGCCTGGAAATACATTTTAGAAGGGCAAAATATCCCAGAGCTATTAAACCCTAGTAATACCACCCTGGTATAATCATAGATTATATAAAGGACTACTAAGATGTAGTTAGACTTTCAACCAAGGCCAGCCTGATGTGGTAATGGAGAACTATGAAATGTGTTTTAAAAGTATCAGGAAGGACATGTTTTCTCCAAATTACCTTCAATCACAATCCTTTTTTTTTTTTTCTTTTCTTCATTTTTCATTTTTTTTCTTTTCTTCACTCTATCGCCCAGGCTGGAGCACAGTGGTATTAATTTTGGCTTACTGCAATCTCTGCCTCCTCTTCTGAGTTGAAGGGATTTTTGTGCTTCAGCCGCCTGAGTAGTTGGGATTATAGGTGTGCGCCACCATGGCTGGCTAATTTTTATATTTTTAGTAGACATGGGGTTTTACCATGTTGGCCAGGCTGGTCCCAAACTCCTGGCCTCAAGTGATCCGCCCACCTTGGCCTCCCAGAGTACTAGGATTACAGGTGTGAGCCACTGTGCGCAGCCCACAATTTTTTTTTTCTTTTTGGAGACTGAGTTTCGAGATTGTTGCCCAGGCTGGAGTGCAATGGTGCCGTCTCAGCTCACTGCAACCTCCACCTCCTGGGTTCAGGCAATTCTCTTGCCTCAGTCTCCCAAGTAGTTGGAATTACAGGTTTGCGCCACCACACTTGGCTAATTTTTGTATTTTTAGTAGAATTGTGGTTTTGCCATGTTGGCCAGGCTGGTCTTGAGCTCCTGGCCTCATGTGATCTGTCCACCTTGACCTCCCAAAGTGCTAGGATTATAGGCGTGAGCCACTGTGCCCAGCCTAGAGTCTTTTTAGTTTTATAAATTTCATAAGTAGGAACCTTTAGTTTACTGGGTGTCTTATTTGACTTGAGAAAACAGCACTGGGGCTCACACCTCTTTTTTTTTGTTTTGTTTTGTTTTAAGGCAGGGTCTTGCTCTGTTACCCAGGCTGAAGTATAGTGGCACAGTTACGGCTCACTGCAGCCTCAACCTTCTGGGCTGAAACGATCCCCTACCTCAGTTTCCCAAGTAGCTAGGAGTAGAGGCCTGCACCACCATGCTCTGCTAGTTTTTAAATTTTTTTGTAGAGATGTGGTGGGTGCTGGGATTACAGGTGTGAGTCGCTGTTCCCAGTCATAGCTCAGTTAAATTTTTTTTTACCATGTAAACAAATGAGGGCTCATGCCTGCAGTCCTAGCACTTTGGGAGGCTGAGGTGGGAGGATCATTTGAATCCAGGAGTTTGAGAACAGCCTGGGTCACGTAGCGAGGCCCTGTCTGTCTAAAAAAAATTTTTTTTTTTTTTTTTGAGACAGAATCTTACTGTTGCCCAAGCTGGAGTGCAGTGGTGCAGTCTCGGCTCACTGCAACCTCCGCCTCCCAGGCTGAAGCGTTCTCCTGCCTCAGTCTCCCAAGTAGCTGGGACTACAGGCACACGCCGCCATACCTAGCTAATTTTTTTGTATTTTAGTAAAGACCAAAGTTTCACCTTGTTGCCCAGGCTGGTCGTGAACTCCTGAGCTCAGACAATCCGCCCACCTTGTCTTCCCAGAGTGCTGGGATTACAGGCGTGAGCCACCGCGCCCGGCCAAAAAACTTTTTTTTGAGATGGAGTCAAAAAAAAACTTGGGTAACTTGCTCTGTTACCCAAGCTAGAGTGCAGTGGTGCAATCTCGGCTCACTGCAGCCCTTGCCTCCCAGTTCAAGCGACTCTCTTGTCTCAGCCTCCCAAGTAGCTGGAACTGTAGGTGTGTGCCACCATGCCTGGCTAATTTTTGTATTTTTAGTACAGATAGGGTTTCACCATGCTGCCCAGGCTGGTGTTGAACTCCTGACCTCGTGATCCACCCGTCTTGGCCTCCCAAAGTGCTGGGATTACAGGTGTGATCCACTGTGCCCGGCCTATAAAATTTTTAAAACTAGCAGGGCGGCCTGGCTTGGTGGCTTGTGCCTGTAACCCCAGCACTTTGGGAGGCTGAGGTAGGTAGATCACCTGAGGTCAGGAGTTCGAGACCAGCCTGTCTAACATGGTGAAACCCCATCTCTACTAAAAATACAAAAATTAGCCAGGCGTGGTGGCAGGTGCCTGTAGTCCCAGCTACTTGGGACGCCAAGGCAGGAGAATGGTGTGAACCCGGGAGGCGGGGCTTGCAGTGAGTCGAGATAGCGCCACTGTACTCCAACCTGGGTGACAGAGCGAGACTGTCTTTAAAAAAAAAAAAAACAAAAAAAAACTAGCAAAGCATAGTGGCACGTGCCTGCAGTACCAGCTACTCAGTAGGCTGAGGTGAGAGGATCGCTTGAACCTAGGAGATGGAGGTAATAGTGAACTGTGATCGTGCCATTGCATTCCATCCAGCCTGGGTGACAAAGCATGGGAGCCTGCCTGTAGAACAAACAAACAACACAAATGATCATAATATGCATGGAAACACAAAGGTGATTATTCGAGGCTTCCCTAAGCAAGAAATCATTCAGTTCCAAACAAAGTGCCAAATATAGAGTAAAATGGAAAACTTGCAGTTTTTTGTGAATTCAAGAAAGTAAACTATGAATTTGTTACATTTTTACTTAATTTTCATTGTAAATTATTATTTGGTTTATCATCAGGATTACCCAAAATGATGTTAAATGTTTTTAATATACTAACATCTGTGGTTCATATGTTTTTTTCTTTTTCCTTTTTTCCCTTTTTTTTTTTTTTGAGATTTTTGAGACAGAGTCTCACTCTGTTGCCCAGGCTGGAGGGCAGTGGCACGATCTCGGCTCACTGCAACCTCTGTCTCCTGGGTTCAAGTGATTCTCCTGCCCCAGCCTCCCGAGAGCTGGGATTACAGGTGTGCACCACCACACCCAGCTAATTTTTGTATTTTTAGTAGAGACGGGATTTCAACATGTTGGCCAGGCTGGTCTCGAACTCCTGACCTCAGGCGATCTACCCACCTCAGCCTCCCAAAGTGCTGGGATTACAGGCGTGAGCCACCACGTGCCTGGTCAGTGGCTCATTTCTTATATTCAAGTCAAAATTTATTTCGATGTTGGAACAAATACCTTTAACCCTTGGTTTGTGTCATCCAGAACTTTCATGTATAAATTACCTGTCTGATTCTGCTGAGACATTAAAAAGAAAAAATTGCCTGTCTCATGAAATTATATTAAAGCATTAAAAAATAATTTATAGCCGGGTACAGTGGCTCACTCCTGTAATCCTAGCACGTTGAAAGGCCAAGGCAGGCAGATCACCTGAGGTCAGGAGTTTGAGACCAGCCTGGCCAACATGGTGAAACCCCGTCTCTACTAAAAATACAAAAATTAGCCAGGCATGGTGGGATGTGCCTATAATCCCAGCTACTTGGGAGGCTGAGGCAGGAAACTCACCTGAACCTGGGAGGTGGAGGTTGCCGTGAGCCGAGATCACGCTAATGCACTCCAGCCTGGGCAACAGCGTGAGACTCTGTGTCAAAAAAATAATAAAAATAAAATAAAATTAATACTAATTTATAGGCCAGGTGCGGTGGCTCACTTCTGTAATCCTAGCACTTTGGGAGGCTGAGGCAGGAGGATCACTTGAGCACAGGAATTTGAAACTAGCCTGGCAACATGGTAAAACTCCCTCTCTACTAAAAATACAAAAATTAACTGGCATGGTGGTGCACACCTGTGATCCCAGCTACTGAGAGGGCTGCGGCAGGAGAATCGTTTGTACCTAGGAGGCAGAGATTGCAGTGAACTGAGATTCCACCACTGCACTGCAGCCTGGGCAACAGAGCAAGACTATGTAAACGAAGAAAACATTATAAACTTTTAAACTTAAAAATTGCTAATTTAGACAACAGATCAAGGCATCAAATCATTTTGGATAAAACTTCATGTTGTGAACTTGACTTTGATACTATCTTGGCAAAATTCTGTTCTAAAATTTTTCACTTTATTTCTTTAGAGAAGAAAGAGTGAATATGAAGGTTCCCAGAGATATGGATGATGCCAAGGCTCTAGGAAAAGTTTTATCCAAATATAAGGACACCTTTTATGTTCAAGTACTTGTAGCTTATTTTGCTACATATATTTTGTATCCTTTTAACTGAAAAAATGTTTTCTAATTTTGTTCAAGAAAAAGTGTAAAAAGTCTGCTCTTCATTTATACATATTTTCCTTTTAAAATTTGTTATTGCAGTGTAACAATATTAAATAATTGAAAATTTGAAATGGAAAAAAATTATCACTTTAATCCTGTTTCCTGGACTGTTTTTATGTCTGAATATTTATCACAAGTTCTTTTGATTCTTTTGTATTCTGCTTTTTTCACTTATCAAACATTTTCCTTTACTGCATATTATTTTATGGGTTTGATTTATAATTGTATTAATTAACTGATGATATTAGTTTATATAATTATTTTAAGTTACTAGTCAAAATAGTATTTTTATAATTGTTCTCTTAGGTTTGGAGGTATAATGTGTTAATTTTTATAGGTATGTATTATGAATCTCCTTTGTTCATGATGTTTTTCTTGCATTGTTTCCTTTGTAAAAATTCTTAAGATACTTATTCAAAGGAATGAATTTTTTTTACAATTTGATATATATTTATTTTATAGAAATAGATTACATTTTAACTAGTCAGGAAAATAGCCTTATTTCAAACGGCTTATGCTGTGGGTGCTTAATTTTGCAAATTGTGGAGTTTAATTTTTCGTTTCTGATTTGTTAATATCTTTTATTCTTATCCAAACTATTTTCCAGATCTTCTCAGTTAATGAAAGACATTACCTCTTGATGTTGTAAAAATAATCATCATTTTTAAACCAATTTTTTTTTTTTTTGAGATGGAGTTTCGCTCTTGTCACACAGGCTGGAGTGCAATGGTGCAATCTCTAGTCACTGCAACCTCTACCTCCTGGATTTAAGCGATTCTCCAGTCTCAGCCTCCCAAGTAGCTGGGATTACGTGCGCCTGCCGCCATGCTCGGCTAATTTTTGTATTTTCAGTAGAGGTGGGGTTTCACCGTGTTGACCAGGATCATCTCAAACCCATGACATCAGGTGATCCGCCCACCTCAGCCTCCCGAAATGCTGGGATTACAGGCGTGAGCCACCACGCCTGGCAGAAAAGGAATTATTTTAATGATATTAAACAATTTGGACGTTGAAAAATGTGGGGTTTTAATTTTTATTTATTTTATTGATTTATTTATTTTTTGAGACAGAGTCTCGCTCTTGTTGCCCAAGCTAGAGTGCAGTGGCGCAATCTGGGCTCACTGCAACCTTTGCCTCCTGTGCTCAAGCGATTCTCCTGTCTCAGCCTCCTGAGTAGCTGGGACTACAGGAGCGTGCCACCATTCCCAGCTAATTTTTATGTTTTTAGTAGAGACAGCGTTTCACCATATTGATCAGGCTGGTCTCGAACTCCTGACCTCAGGTGATCCACCCGCCTCAGCCTCCCAAAGTGCTGGGATTACAGGCGTGAGCCACCACGCCCGGCCTGTTTTTTGTTTTTTATTGAGACAGAGTCTCGCTCTGTCGCCCAGGCTGGAGTGCAGTGGCACGATCTTGGCTCACTGCAAGCTCCGCCTCCCGGGTTCAAGCCATTCTCCTGCCTCAGCCTCCCGAGTAGCTGGGACTACAGGCGCTCGCCACCTCGCCCGGCTAATTTTTTGCATTTTTAGTAGAGACGGGGTTTCACCGTGTTAGCCAGGATGGTCTTGATCTCCTGACCTCGTGATCCGCCCGCCTCGGCCTCCCAAAGTGCTGGGATTACAGGCGTGAGCCACCACGCCCGGCCTGTTTTTTGTTTTTTATTGAGACAGAGTCTCGCTCTGTCGCCCAGGCTGGAGTGCAGTGGCACGATCTTGGCTCACTGCAAGCTCCGCCTCCCGGGATCACGCCATTCTCCTGCCTCAGCCTCCCGAGTAGCTGGGACTACAGGTGTCTGCCACCACGTCTGGCTAATTTTTTGTACTTTTTTAGTAGAGACGGGGTTTCACCGTGTTAGCCAGGATGGTCTTGATCTCCTGACCTCGTGATCCGCCTGCCTCGGCCTCCCAGAGTGCTGGGATTACAGGCGTGAGCCACCGCACCCGACCAGTTTTTGTATTTTTAGTAAGAAACAGGATTTCACTATGTTGGGCAGGCTGGTCTCGAACTCCTGACCTCATGATTCTCCCACCTGGGCCTCCCAAAGCGCTGGGATTACAGGCGTGAGCAACCGCACCCAGCCTTATTTTTATTTTTAGTTTTTGAGACAGAGTCTCACTCTATTGCCCAGACCAGAGGTCAGTGGCATGATTGTGGCTCACTCTAACTTCTGCCTCCTGGGTTCAAGTGATTCTCGTGTCCCAACCTCCTGAGGACCTGGCATTACAGGCATGAGCCACTGTGCCCAGCCAATTTTTGTATTTTTATTAGAGACGGAGTTTCATCGTGTTGGCCAGGCTGTTCTTCAACTCCTAGTCTCAAGTGATCCACCCTCAGCTTCCCAAAGTATTGGGATTCCAGGCGTGAGCCACTGCACCCAGCATGAAATATGTTGACATAGAGCATCGTAACACTAGTTTCTCAACTTTGGTTTTTTTCCCCCAATTTCAGCTGTAATTTTAGGTTTCCTTTTCAGACAAGTAGGAATTTCACCAAATTTTAGGGAAAAAAAAAGAAAAAAAAAAAAAACAGTTGCATTAAACAATAACAACAAAAACAACAAAACACTTCCTGGGAACTTGTCTTCATTTATTCCTGCTTCTCTCAGTTTCCTCAAGGGAAAATTTCCATTTATCTCCTTTCATCCTTTGGAGTCTTGCTTTTTTTTTTTTCTTTTTTTTTTAATTATTATACTTTAAGTTCTGGGGTACATGGGCGCAACATTGCAGGTTTGTTACATAGGTATACATGTGCCATGTTGGTTTGCTGCACCCATCAACTCATCATTTACACTGAGTATTTCTACATTTATATATGTGTGAAACTATCCATAATATGATCTTTTGTTTCATTTTGTTTTTTTGAGATGGAGTCTCGCTCTGTTGCCAGGCTGGCGTGCAGTGGCAAGATCTCGACTCACTGCAATCTCCCGCCTCCCGTGTTCAAGCCATTCCCCTGCCTCAGCCTCCCGAGTAGCTGGGACGACAGGCGCCCACCACCACACCCAGCTAATTTTTTGTATTTTAGTAGAGACAGGGTTTCACCATGTTGGCCAGGATGGTCTCGATCTCCTGACCTCTTGATCCACCCGCCTCAGCCTCCCTAAGTGCTGGGATTACAGGCATGAGGCACCCTACCCGGCCCATATAATACAATCGTAACCCAAAATGTGTGTGTGTGTGTGTGTGTGTGTGTGTGTGTTTTGTGTTTAACAGAGACGTGTAGGAAACAGGTCGAAAATTTGAGGCTGGCTGATCAGAGAGTTTTGAGTTTTAGTACTATATGTGGTTGATACTTGAAGCCATGGAAATTGCCAAATTTATCAAAGGAAAGGACGTTAACGTTCTTTAAACAGAACGTTAGAGAAATTTCAGATTTGAGGGCAAAGAGAAAAATCTAGAGAAGAAATTACCTGTAACGTAGAAGAAGAAGTACAGTTCACTGAAGCCATGTTTCATGCAGGATGAAGTCTAATCCTATACAGGGATCACTGAAAGGTGACTGTTGAGAAAAAGTTATTAATATTGGCTATGAGGAAGTTTCAATAGCATAGTGGAATAGTAAAGCAGGTCACAGGGAACAAGGAGAGAATCTCCTCTGAGGAAGTGAAGATGAGCAGTGCTGATCACTTGAGCCCAGGAGTTCAAGACTAGCCTGGGCAACATAGCCAGACCTCATCTCTACAAATAATAAAAATTGGCGTGGTGACACACATGTCTGTGATCCTAGCTACTTGTGAGGTTGAAGTGGGAGAATTTCTTGAGCTTGGGCAGTTGAGGCTGCAGTGAGCCATGAGTGTGCCATTGCATTCCAGTCTGGATGACAAAGCAAGACCCCTTCTCAAAAATAAATAAGATTTGTGACTTTTACTATATTTTGTAATTTCTATTCTTATTTTATTTTTCTTATTTTTTTAATTCTATTGTAGCTCCTATTCCTTTAAAATGAGTAGTGAATTTAGGTAAATCTTCATAATTAAATTAGAAATAATTATATGTACATGATTTCTCTGAAAACATTTGGGAATAAAATGTATTAGAGAAGCACTGAAAGATTACGGAAGACCTTTTCTTTTTTCCTCCCCCAAAGTGCCCGATTCCTCTCTCTCTAGTACATACTGAATTTTTGTCTTGGAAACCTTTTAGTAGCGCACACTTGCTAGTGTTTATGATACCGTTTAGTAAATGGTCAACTTAGAGGCTAAACCTTTGGTTATAATCTCATTATATGATAATTTCTGTATTTATACTTTTTTCCCGAAATATTACATTTGTCTTTTAAAATTCCACTTAATTGTGTTCTAATCCTTAACTTAAAAGTTACCAGCTTGCAAACATTTGCTATTCCAGGCTCTATATTTCTCAGTATACTTTCAGGGTTTCTTTATCCCTTTCCACTGGCCTTATTTCTTGTTTGTTTGGTAAGTATGAAAAAATAAAATTGGGAGACTGAAAAAAAAAAAAAAAAACAATAGAATGATGAGGATGATGATATTTTAATCCCACTAGTCTATGTAAGCATAAACTCATTAGTTTAAAAGGAGTTAAAGTCCCTTCACAAGGAGGTGTTACAATTTGTTTTTCCCCCAGAACAGACCAATTAGACTTAGTTGCATTTATAAGCTATGTTTTAGCTTTTCTTTCCTATTGGATTTTGTAACTGCGACAGTCCAAAAGAGTGTTGATGAGCACAATGAGTTAAGTCCCAGGGCCAGAGGTGGTGTTTTCAAGCTTAGAAATTGTGGGGGTCGGGAGGAGGTTGGAAATTGGCTCTTGAAATTTTATTCTTAGGCTAAAGCCTAGCATTAACTGTTTGGATATAGTCACTAGGTGTAATCACAAGTGCCAGTTTGTTTTAGCTGATCTCATTTGAGGTACAATTTGGTCTGAGAAAGTACTAGATCATCTCTGCGCAAGAGATGTCTTGCAGAGTACCCTCCCCCCCTCCGAAAGAAGTAAATTAATTGAGCTTTTACTCAGGTGAATAAATCAATGTGAGTAAGATGGAAAAATACAAAATGCTTATGGCTTCTTTTTGTTTTCTAGTGTTCTGGACTTGGTGCCTCTTTTTGTTACATGCTTTCCTATTTAGTTGGGAGACCAGTTGTATACAAATACCTAACAGAGAAAGCAGTAAAATGGTCACAGCAGGTAAATGTGTTGTTAAATTATTTGATGTAACTCTTTGTTAATTGGAAGTTCTGTGTTTAGTGCCTACATGAATTAGCTACATATATTAAACCAACACAAATTATTTCCTAAGTTAACTCAAGTAATAACAACTATCTCCTGACCAAATAAAAATAGGTGGTAGGCAAATATGAATGTTAATAATTTCACATACAAATGTTTTAGACCTGTGATGGTAATTTTTATCTGAGTAAATTCAATCAGAGAAGTCAAAGTGTCAGTATAAAGGCATCCACATAATTAGATACCTATCCATTTTATGTTAATGCAGTATTCTGTGCATGTGTTATTGAAACACTTGTATCAGCCAACTCCCAGTGCATTTTTTTCTTTTCTTTTTTTATGAGACACAGTCTCGCTCTGTCACCCAGCTGGAGTGCAGTGGCATGACCTCGGCTCACTGCAGCCTCTGCCTCCCGGGTTCAAGCAATGCTCCTGCCTACCTCAGCCTCCCGAGTAGCTGGGATTATAGGCACATGCCACCACGCCTAGCTAATTTTTTGTATTTTTAGTAGAGACAGGGTTTCACCATGTTGGCCAGGCTGGTCTCAAACTCCAGACCTCAGGCGACCCTCCTGCCTCAGCCTCCCAAAGTGCTGGGATTACAGGCATGAGTCACCACTGGCCTTTTTTGATCTTTTCTTTTCTCTTTTTTCATTTCTTTTCGAGTCGGAGTTTCGCTCTTGTTGCCCAAGCTGAAGTGCATCTTGGCTCGCTGCAACCTCCGCCTCCCGGAGGTTCTCCTGTCTCAGCCTCCCAAGTAGCTAGAATTTCAGGCGCATGCCACCACTATTTTTAGTAGAAATGGGTTTCACCATGTTAGCCAGGCTGTTCTCGAACTCCTGACCTCAGGTGATCCACCTGCCTTGGCCTCCCACAGTGCTGGGATTACAGGCAAGAAACACCATGCCAGCCTGATCATTTGTCTTGGGTATGCTCTGAAGTATCAGGAATGAGAATTTGAAATAAAGTGTTTATATTAAGCGACTTATTTTGAAGTTGTCCTCAATCTGATGCTAATTATTTTCTTTCTTATGACAGGTTGACCGTCATAGAGAACATCTCATTAACTACATTATATTTTTGAGAATAACACCATTTCTGCCTAATTGGTTTATTAATATCACATCTCCTGTGATAAACGTGCCATTGAAAGTTTTTTTTATTGGTACTTTTCTAGGTAAGGCCTCTGGTTCTTGCCGTGTATGAGCTCACTGTGTACATATCTAACAGTGTCCAGCTGATCTAGATTGCATGCATGCTCTCTGCAGATATGTCAGCACCATCTAGAACTCTTGGGCACAAAGCCTGGCTGTATAAATAGATACTCAGAAGTGTTTGTTGCATTGTGTTGATGTAGGTTATTTTTGTGTTGCCTCTTTAAAGAAGAGCACTTTCTACTGTATATCGTTTTAATAATAGAGAGTTAAGCAGGACCTATAACCTCCAGTCCCTCTAAGTGGAGAGGAAAAAAAATCAAATTGCCTTTTTTGAGCAATTTTCTCCTATGTCCCTTCCCCTTCCCCTTCCCTGAGTCTCACCCTGTCGCCCAGTCTGGAGTGCAGTGGCGCAATCTCTGCTCACTGCAAGCTCCGCCTCCTGGGTTTACGCCATTCTCCTGCCTCAGCCTCCCGAGTAGCTGGGACTACAGGCACATGCCACCACGCCTGGCTAATGTTTGTATTATTAGTAGAGATGGGGTTTCACCATGTTGGCCAGGCTGGTCTCAAACTCCTGACCTTGTGATCCTCCTACCTCAGCCTCTCAAAGTGCTGAGATTACAGGCGTGAGCCACCATGCCCAGCCCTTTTTTTTTTTTTAAATGTTGCTTTGGCAAAATGGTTCCTTTGTGTTTTTTGGAGTTTTTTTTTTGTTTGTTTATTTGATTGCTTGTTTTTTTTTTGAGACAAGAGTCTTGCTGTGTCGCCTAGGCTGGAGTGCAGTGGCACGATCTCGGCTCACTGCAAGCTCCGCCTCCTGGGTTCATGCCATTCTCCTGCCTCAGCCTCCCGAATAGCTGGGACTACAGGCGCCCGCCACCACGTCCAGTTAACTTTTTGTATTTTTAGTAGAGATGGGGTTTCACCTTGTTAGCCAGGATGGTCTTGATCTGACCTTGTGATCCACCCGCCTCGGCCTCCCAAAGTACTGGGATTGCAGGCATGAGGTTCCGTGCCCGGCAGCAAATTTGTTTCCTAATAAAGTATTAAAATGTTGAACTTGAATTTTCAGGAGAGAATTGATCCTATTTTTCCTTTTATTGAGACCAGCATTTATTGTGGATGTTATCAAAAATATGGAGAAAGCAATGATCAACAAACATTCTTGCTTTTAAAGAAATAATACTTGATTTTGCTTTTTTGTGTGTTTTTTTTTTGTGTTGGTTTTGTTGTTGAGACAGAGTTTTGCTCTTATTGCCCAGGCCTGGAGTGCAATGGTGCTGTCTCGGCTCTACAACCTCTGCCTCCCAGGTTCAAGCGATTCTCCTGCCTCAGCCTCCTGAGTAGCTGGGATTACAGCCATGCACCACCACGACCAGCTTAATTTTTATTTTTAGTGGAGATGGGTTTCTCCATGTGGTCAGGCTGGTCTTTAACTCCCAACCTCAGATGATGCGCCCGCCTCAGCCTCCCAAAGTGCTAGGATTATAGGGCGTGAGCCACCGTGCCGGCCCTTAATTTTGAAATTAATCAGTGGACATGAAGATTATTTATATATTTTGTGAATTCTCATGATTCTTTGTAGGAGTGTTTTTGCTTTCCTTTCCAGTTCAAGTTGAATTGTTTTAGATGTCCAAAAAAATGAGCAGATTTCTTACATATGAATACCTATGAAAGCTTAATTCTTAATAGAATATTTCTTTTTGAAAAGAATACCAAAATCAATTATTTATTGTTCTTTAAAAAAATTAGCCAGGCGGGTGGGTTCACACCTGCAGTCCCAGCACTTTGGGAGGCCAGGTTGGGCGGATCAGGTCAGGAGTTCAAGACCAGTCTGACCAATATGGTAAAACCTTGTCTCTACTAAAAAATACAAAAATTAGCTGAACGTGGGTGGCAGGTGCCTGCAGTCCCAGCTACTCAGGAGGCTGGAGGCAGGAGAATCACTTGAACCGGGAGCAGAGGTTTGCGTGAACGAGATTGTGCCCACTGGCGCTCCAGCCTGGGTGACAGAGCAAGACACTATCTCAAAAAAAAAAGAAGAATGAAAAGAAAAAAAATGACAAACTGGACATCAGCATGGGGCATTTTTTTTTGTTAAATGTCATATCCATGGAATCTAAGAGAGAATTTTGTTTCTATCTCCATTTTACAGGTGAAAGGCCAGAGATTTAATTTTAGCTTGGCTAAAGTAATATCTTTCCCTTTGTTTTGATTTTTAGTGAAATGCCATCATTCTGTATGTACTTGTATACACCTGCTCTCTTTACTCACCATTTCAGTATCTTAAACTTAAATTGCTAGAACAGACCTCCGCTCCCCTCCTCCTTCCTTCCTCCATCCTTTTTTCCTTCCTTTCCGTTTTCTTTCTTTCCTTTGCTTTCCTCTGGTCTGTTCCTCTTTCATCTCCTTTCCTTCCTCCTCCTTCCTCTTCCTCTCCTCACTCCTCTCCTCTCCTCTCCTCTCCTCTCCTCTCCTCCTCCTTCCCCTCTCCATTGACCAGATTTTCTCTCTCCATGTCCCCAGGCTGGAGGTTTCAGTGGGGTGGATCTCAGTTCACTGCCAACCCTCCTGCTCCCCTGGGTTCAATGGATTCTCTGCCT